AGAAAACATTCCGTGGTTATTTCTGGGAAGAAAACATTCTGTGGTTTCTGGGAAAAAAATTTCGTGGGGTATTTCTGGGAAAATAAAATTTTTGGGGTTTTTTGGGAAGATAACATTTTCGGGTTTTTTCTGGGGGAAAATAAATTTGTGGTTATTTTTTAAAAAACTTTCGTGGGTTTTTTTTGGGAAATAAAATTTGTGGTTATTTTTGGGAAGATAACATTCTGTGGTTTAATTTCGGGAAGACAAATTCTCGGGGTTTTTTATTTCGGGGAAGTAACATTCGGGGGGGGTTTTTTTGGGGAAGAAAAACATTCCCCGTGGGTTATTTCTGGGAAGATAACATTCTCGTGGTTATTTGGGGGGTTTTTTAGGCTTTAAACAGCTGGTGGAGCAAAGGAAATTGGGGAGGGTAAAGGGGGCCGGGAGAGAGAGTGGGAGGAGGGGAAAAGGGGGGGGGGGAGAGGGGAGGGAAGGGGGGGTCTTAAAAAAAACAGTTTTTAAGGCTAATGTGGGGTTAAAAATTTGGAAATTGTTTTTTGGGATCCTTTCTCAAACCTCCCCCTCCCCCCAAAATTTCCCCAAACTCAACCCCCCCCCCCCCCTAACTCTTTTTCTCTCTCTCTCCCCCTCCCCTCTCTCTCTTCTCCTCTCTCTCTTTTCTCTCTTCTCTTCTCTCTCTCTCTCCTCTTCCCCTCCTCTCCCTCTCTCTCTCCCCCCCCTCTCTCTCTCTCTCTTTCCCTCTCTCCCTCCCCCTCTCTCTCTCTCTCTCTCTCCCCTCTCTCTCTCCCCCTCTCTCTCTCCCCCTCTTCCCTCTCCCTCCCCCTTTTCCCCTTCTCTCCTCATTCCCTCCCCTCTCTCTCCCCTTCTCTCTCTCTTTTCCTTCTTCTTCTCTCTCTCTCTCCCCCCCTCTCTCTCTCTCTCTCTCTCTCTCTCTCCCCTCTCCCTTCTCTCTCTCTTTTCTCTCCCTCCCCCTTTCTCTCTCTCTCTCTTTCCCTCTCTCTCCTCTTTTCTCTCTCTTTTTTCTCTTCTCTCTCTCTCTCTCTTTTCTCTCCCTCTCCCTCTTCCCCTCTCTCTCTTCCCTCTCCTTCTCTCTCTCTCTCCCCTTCTCTCTCTTCTCTTCTCTTTTTTCTTTTCTCTCTCTCTCCCTCTTTTCTCTCTCTCTCTCTCCCTTCCTCTCTCTCTCTCTCTCTCTCTCTCTTCTTCTTCTCCCTCTCCCTCTCTCCTCTCTCCCCTCTCTCTCTCACCTCTCTCCCCTCTCTCTCTCTCTCTCTCTCTCTCTCTCTTCTTCTCTCTCTCCTCTCTCTCTCTCTCTCTCCCTCTCCCTCTCTCCCCTCTCCCCTCCCCTCTCCCTCTCCCTCTCTCTCTCTCTCTCTCTCTCTCTCCCTCCCCCTCTCTCTCTCTCTCTCTCTCCTCTCTCCTCTCTCTCCCTCTCCCCTCTTCTCTCTCTCTCTCTCCCTCTCCTCTCACTCTCCTCTCTCTCTCCTCTCTTTTCCTCTCCTCTCTCTCTCTCTTCTCTCTCCCTCTCTCTCTCTCTCCTCTCTCCTCCCTCTCTCTCTCTCCTCTCTCTCTCTCTCTCTTCCTCCCCTCCCCTCTCTCCCTCTCTCTCTCTCTCTCTCTCTCTCTCTCTCTCTCTCTCTCATATATACACACTTTCAAAGATAACTGAACTAAACAAAAACACCAAAATGAAAATATATATGCATTATTATAGTTATTATTATTAACGGTGGCCCCCATAGCCTGGTGGGTAAAAGTCTAGCTTCACACGTCGAGCGTCCTGGTGCGATTACCAGCGAGGGTAGAAACATTGGGCGCGTTTCCTTACACCGGTCATCTGTGTTCACCCATCACTAAAATGGGTACCTGGGTGTTAGTCGACCGGTGTGGGTCGCATCCTGGGACAAAATTTACCTAATTTGCCAGAAATGCTCTGCATAACAAGCTGCTTTCTATATAGCAGTATGTCAGTGATGTCAGCTAGGACTGTATACCTTGTACTTGCTCTTGTAGAAATAAAGATTTTATTATTACTACTACTACTGATAATAATAATAATAATAATAATAATAATAATAATAATAATAATAATAAATAATAATAATAAAAATTTAAATAATAACACTAATAATAACAATAATATAATAATAATAATAATAATAATAATAATAATAATAATAATAATAATAATAATAATAACAATAATAATAATAATAATAATAATAATAATAATAATAACAATTATAATGTCAACTCTTTACAAGGGTCTAAATGCAGAAATAACATAAGACCGCGAGTTTATGGATTAATACAATCAACAGTCGATTAATCAGAAGAATGTGAAGGCCATAAATAATAGTTCTCTCGACACATAAGGATTGTCGTGGTGTCCGAGTGGTTAAGGAGGTAGACTTAAAATCTACTGGGCTCTGCCTTCACGGGTTCGAATCCCGTCCACGACGTTAGCTTTTGTTTTATTTATTAGTAGTTCAGTACTCAACGCTCCAAACTCAGTGTCTGTGTACAGCCACACATTGCCACTACACTCAGTGTTTGTCTGTGTACACCCACACATTGCCACTACACTAAGTGTTTGTCTGTGTACACCCACACATTGCCACTACACTAAGTGTTTGTCTGTGTACAGCCACACACTGCCACTACACTAAGTGTTTGTCTGTGTACAGCCACACATTGCCACTACACTCAGTGTTTGTCTGTGTACACCCACCAAAATTGCCACTACACTCAGTGTTTGTCTGTGTACAGCCACACATTGCCACTACACTCAGTGTTTGTCTGTGTACACCCACACATTGTGACTACACTCAGTGTTTGTCTGTGCACACCCACACATTGCCACTACACTCAGTGTTTGTCTGTGTACAAACCCCCACCAAATTGCCACTACACTCAGTGTTTGTCTGTGTACAGCCACACATTGCCACTACCTCAGTGTTTGTCTGTGTACACCCCCACTTGCCACTACACTCAGTGTTTGTCTGTGCACACCCACACATTGCCACTACACCCCAGTGTTTGGGCTGTGTACACCCACACATTGCCACTTTCACTCAGTGTTTGTCTGTGTACAAACCCACACATTGCCACTACACTCAGTGTTTGTCTGTGTACACCCACACATTGCCACTACACTCAGTGTTTGTCTGTGTACACCCACACATTGCCACTACACTCAGTGTTGTCTGTGTACAGCCCACACTGCCACTACACTCAGTGTTTGTCCCGTGTACAGCCACCACATTTTCCACTACACTTTTTTTCTGTGCACAGCCCCACATTGCCACTACACTCAGTGTTTGTCTGTGTACAGCCACACATTGCCACTACACTCAGTGTTTGTCTGTGTACAGCCACACACTGCCACTACACTCAGTGTTTTTTCTGTGTACAGCCCCACACTGGCACTACACTCCTGTTTGTCTGTGTACAGCCACACATTGCCACTACACTCAGTGTTTGTCTGGGGTACAGCCACACATTGCCACTACACTCAGTGTTTTCTTGTACAGCCACACACTGCCACTACACTCAGTGTTTGTCTGTGTACAGCCACACACTGCCACTACACTCAGTGTTTGTCTGTATACAGCCACACACTGCCACTACACTCAGTGTTTGTCTGTGTACAGCCACACATTGCCACTACACTCAGTGTTTGTCTGTATACAGCCACACACTGCCACTACACTCAGTGTTTGTCTGTGTACAGCCACACACTGCCACTACACTCAGTGTTTGTCTGTGTACAGCCACACACTGCCACTACACTCAGTGTTTGTCTGTATACAGCCACACACTGCCACTACACTCAGTGTTTGTCTGTATACAGCCACACACTGCCACTACACTCAGTAGAATGTAGAGTGGGATAACTAAGCGAGCTTTAAGCTCTACACAGACAGTACTAGGAAAAAAATGTTGTATATAACTAACGAGTTATTGTTGTGTGATGTATATAACAACTGTTGCATAACGTATATAACTAGTGAGTTATTGTTGTGTGATGTATATAACAACTGTTGCATAACGTATATAACTAGTGAGTTATTGTTGTGTGATGTATATAACAACTGTTGCATAACGTATATAACTAGTGAGTTATTGTTGTACGATGTATCTCTTATTTATACATCATTGGCAAGTCGAAGCTTGTAGACAAGTCGTCATACACTTGTTGCACTTGCTCACCTAACAGTGAATAGGAACCCTGGTGCTATTCTGCTCTGGCGTGTCGCATGCTAGGAAAACTATTATATTACAGACAATAATGAAGACAGGGGCACCACTAGCACTGCTGTTCTCCTGTAACTACATACATATAGTGACGCGCCATCATAGTGGCATGATATCTGACTGTATCAGCTGTACATGACGTACATCCCACCAGTTTCCTGATTACAGTGGCCAACAGTGGTTGCAGTTCATTAAAAACGTGTTTCTAACTAATTCTGAGACGCTGAATTCAAATCCCAACTTAGTTTTGCTTCAACACTTACACTTTATGTGAAATAGAACCTCGCGGCGAACGATTCCCAGTGAGGGTTGAAACACTGGGTGTGTTTCCTTACACTGGTTGTCTATGTTCACCCATCAGTGTAAAATGGGTACCTGGGTGTTAGTAGACTGGTGTGGGTCGCATCCTGGGTGTTAGTAGATTGGTGTGGGTCGCATTCCGGGACAAAACTGACTTAATCTGCAAGAAATGCTCTGCATAACAAGCTGTTTTCTATATAGTAGTATGTCAGTGATGTCAGCTAGGACTGTATACCTTGTACTTGCTCTTGTAGAAATAAAGATTTTATTATTACTACTACTACTGATAATAATAATAATAACAATAATAATGTCAACTCTTTACAAGGATCTAAATGCAGAAATAACATAAGACCGCGAGTTTATGGATTAATACAATCAACAGTCGATTAATCAGAAGAATGTGAAGGCCATAAATAATAGTTATCTCGACACATTACGATGTCGTGGTGTCCGAGTGGTTAAGGAGGTAGACTTAAAATCTACTGGGCTCTGCCTTCACGGGTTCGAATCCCGTCCACGACGTTAGCTTTTGTTTTATTTATTAGTAGTTCAGTACTCAACGCTCCAAACTCAGTGTTTGTGTACAGCCACACATTGCCACTACACTCAGTGTTTGTCTGTGTACACCCACACATTGCCACTACACTCAGTGTTTGTCTGTGTACAGCCACACATTGCCACTACACTCAGTGTTTGTCTGTGTACAACCACACATTGCCACTACACTCAGTGTTTGTCTGTGTACAACCACACATTGCCACTACACTCAGTGTTTGTCTGTGTACAACCACACATTGCCACTACACTCAGTGTTTGTCTGTGTACAACCACACATTGCCACTACACTCAGTGTTTGTCTGTGTACAGCCACACATTGCCACTACACTCATTGTTTGCCTGTGTACACCCACACATTGCCACTACACTCAATGTGTGTCTGTGTACAGCCACACATTGCCACTACACTCAGTGTTTGTCTGTGTACAGCCACACACTGCCACTACACTCAGTGTTTGTCTGTGTACACCCACACATTGCCACTACACTCAGTGTTTGTCTGTGTACAGCCACACATTGCCACTACACTCAGTGTTTGTCTGTGTACAGCCACACATTGCCACTACACTCAGTGTTTGTCTGTGTACAGCCACACATTGCCACTACACTCAGTAGAATGTAGAGTGGGATAATTAAGCGAGCTTTAAGCTCTACACAGACAGTACTAGGAAAAAAAATGTTGTATATAACTAACGAGTTATTATTGTGTGATGTATATAACAACTGCTGCATAACGTATATAACTAGTGAGTTATTGTTGTACGATGTATCTCTTATTTATACATCATTGGCAAGTCGAAGCTTGTAGACAAGTCGTCATACACTTGTTGCACTTGCTCACCTAACAGTGAATAGGAACCCGGGTGCTATTCTGCTCTGGCGTGTCGCATGCTAGGAAAACTATTATATTACAGACAATAATGAAGACAGGGGCACCACTAGCACTGCTGTGCTCCTGTAACTACATACATATAGTGACGCGCCATCATAGTGGCATGACATCTGACTGTATCAGCTGTACATGACGTACATCCCACCAGTTTCCTGATTACAGTGGCCAACAGTGGTTGCAGTTCATTAAAAACGTGTTTCTAACTAATTCTGAGACGCTGAATTCAAATCCCAACTTAGTTTTGCTTCAACACTTACACTTTATGTAAAATAGAACCTCGCGGCGAACGATTCCCAGTGAGGGTTGAAACACTGGGTGTGTTTCCTTACACTGGTTGTCTATGTTCACCCATCAGTGTAAAATGGGTACCTGGGTGTTAGTAGACTGGTGTGGGTCGCATCCTGGGTGTTAGTAGACTGGTGTGGGTCGCATTCCGGGACAAAACTGACTTAATCTGCAAGAAATGCTCTGCATAACAAGCTGTTTTCTATATAGTAGTATGTCAGTGATGTCAGCTAGGACTGTATACCTTGTACATGTACTTGTAGTAATGAAGATATTATTATTATTATTATTATTATTATTATTATTATTATTATTATTATTATTATTATTATTATTATCATTATTATTTTTCTTACTGCTATTATTATTATTATTATTGTTATTATTATTATTATTATTATTATTACTATTATTATTATTATTATTATTATTATTATTATTATGAAATGATGTATAAATAAGAGAAACATCACACAACAATAACTCACTAGTTATATACGTTATGCAACAGTTGTTATATACATCACACAACAATAACTCGTTAGTTATATACAACATTTTTTTCCTAGTACTGTCTGTGTAGAGCTTAAAGCTCGCTTAGTTATCCCACTCTATATTCTACTGAGTGTAGTGGCAGTGTGTGGCTGTACACAGACAAACACTGAGTGTAGTGGCAGTGTGTGGCTGTACACAGACAAACACTGAGTGTAGTGGTAGTGTGTGGCTGTACACAGACAAACACTGAGTGTAGTGGCAGTGTGTGGCTGTACACAGACAAACACTGAGTGTAGTGGCAGTGTGTGGCTGTACACAGACAAACACTGAGTGTAGTGGCAATGTGTGGCTGTACACAGACAAACACTGAGTGTAGTGGCAATGTGTGGCTGTACACAGACAAACACTGAGTGTAGTGGCAATGTGTGGTTGTACACAGACAAACACTGAGTGTAGTGGCAATGTGTGGCTGTACACAAACACTGAGTGTAGTGGCAATGTGTGGCTGTACACAGACAAACACTGAGTGTAGTGGCAGTGTGTGGCTGTACACAGACAAACACTGAGTGTAGTGGCAGTGTGTGGCTGTACACAGACAAACACTGAGTGTAGTGGCAGTGTGTGGCTGTACACAGACAACACTGATGTAGTGGCAGTGTGTGGCTGTACACAGACAAACACTGAGTATAGTGGCAGTGTGTGGCTGTACACAGACAAACACTTAGTGTGTGGCTGTACACAGACAAACACTGAGTGTAGTGGCAGTGTGTGGCTGTACACAGACAAACACTTAGTGTAGTGGCAGTGTGTGGCTGTACACAGACAAACACTGAGTGTAGTGGAAAGTGTGTGGCTGTACACAGACAAACACTTAGTGGGGGGTTAAGTGGCAGTGGTGTGGCTGTACACAGACAAACACTTAGTGTAGTGGCAGTGTGTGGCTGTACACAGACAAACACTGAGTGTAGTGGCAATGTGTGGCTGTACACAGACAAACACTGAGTGTAGTGGCAATGTGTGGCTGTACACAGACAAACACTGAGTGTAGTGGCAGTGTGTGGCTGTACACAGACAAACACTTAGAGTAGTGGCAGTGTGTAGCTGTACACAGACAAACACTGAGTGTAGTGGCAATATGTGGCTGTACACAGACAAACACTGAGTGTAGTGGCAGTGTGTGGCTGTACACAGACAAACACTTAGAGTAGTGGCAGTGTGTGGCTGTACACAGACAAACACTGAGTGTAGTGGCAATGTGTGGCTGTACACAGACAAACACTGAGTGTAGTGGCAGTGTGTGGCTGTACACAGACAAACACTGAGTGTAGTGGCAGTGTGTGGCTGTACACAGACAAACACTGAGTGTAGTGGCAATGTGTGGCTGTACACAGACAAACACTGAGTGTAGTGGCAGTGTGTGGCTGTACACAGACAAACACTTAGTGTAGTGGCAGTGTGTGGCTGTACACAGACAACACTGAGTGTAGTGGCAATGTGTGGCTGTACACAGACAAACACTGAGTGTAGTGGCAGTGTGTGGCTGTACACAGACAAACACTGAGTGTAGTGGCAGTGTGTGGCTGTACACAGACAAACACTGAGTGTAGTGGCAATGTCTGGCTGTACACAGACAAACACTGAGTGTAGTGGCAGTGTGTGGCTGTACACAGACAAACACTTAGTGTAGTGGCAGTGTGTGGCTGTACACAGACAAACACTGAGTGTAGTGGCAATGTGTGGCTGCACACAGACAAACACTGAGTGTAGTGGCAATGTGTGGCTGTACACAGACAAACACTGAGTGTAGTGGCAATGTGTGGCTGTACACAGACAAACACTGAGTGTAGTGGCAATGTGTGGGTGTACACAGACAAACACTGAGTGTAGTGGCAGTGTGTGGCTGTACACAGACAAACACTGAGTGTAGTGGCAGTGTGTGGCTGTACACAGACAAACACTGAGTGTAGTGGCAGTGTGTGGCTGTACACAGACAAACACTGAGTGTAGTGGCAATGTGTGGCTGTACACAGACAAACACTGAGTGTAGTGGCAATGTGTGGCTGTACACAGACAAACACTGAGTGTAGTGGCAGTGTGTGGCTGTACTCAGACAAACACTGAGTGTAGTGGCAGTGTGTGGCTGTACACAGACAAACACTGAGTGTAGTGGCAGTGTGTGGCTGTACACAGACAAACACTGAGTGTAGTGGCAGTGTGTGGCTGTGCACAGACAAGCACTGAGTGTAGTGGCAGTGTGTGGCTGTACACAGACAAACACTGAGTGTAGTGGTAGTGTGTGACTGTACACAGACAAACACTGAGTGTAGTGGCAGTGTGTGCCTGTACACAGACAAACACTGAGTGTAGTGGCAGTATGTGACTGTACACAGACAAACACTGAGTGTAGTGGCAGTGTGTGGCTGTACACTGACAAACACTGAGTGTAGTGGCAGTGTGTGACTGTACACAGACAAAAACTGAGTGTAGTGGCAGTGTGTGGCTGTACACAGACAAACACTGAGTGTAGTGGCAGTATGTGACTGTACACAGACAAACACTGAGTGTAGTGGCAATGTGTGGCTGTACACAGACAAACACTGAGTGTAGTGGCAATGTGTGGCTGTACACAGACAAACACTGAGTGTAGTGGCAGTATGTGACTGTACACAGACAAACACTGAGTGTAGTGGCAATGTGTGGGTGTACACAGACAAACACTGAGTGTAGTGGCAATGTGTGGCTGTACACAGACAAACACTGAGTGTAGTGGCAGTATGTGACTGTACACAGACAAACACTGAGTGTAGTGGCAGTGTGTGGCTGTACACAGACAAACACTGAGTGTAGTGGCAGTATGTGACTGTACACAGACAAACACTGAGTGTAGTGGCAGTGTGTGGCTGTACACTGACAAACACGGAGTGTAGTGGCAGTGTGTGACTGTACACAGACAAACACTGAGTGTAGTGGCAGTGTGTGGCTGTACACAGACAAACACTGAGTGTAGTGGCAGTATGTGACTGTACACAGACAAACACTGAGTGTAGTGGCAATGTGTGGCTGTACACAGACAAACACTGAGTGTAGTGGCAATGTGTGGCTGTACACAGACAAACACTGAGTGTAGTGGCAGTATGTGACTGTACACAGACAAACACTGAGTGTAGTGGCAATGTGTGGGTGTACACAGACAAACACTGAGTGTAGTGGCAATGTGTGGCTGTACACAGACAAACACTGAGTGTAGTGGCAGTATGTGACTGTACACAGACAAACACTGAGTGTAGTGGCA